CGTGTAGCTTCTTTATGGTTTTGATGGTCTTTATAACCCCCGTTTTGGACATAATTTCATACTTGCATGTTAGTACCAATGATAGAATATGGGGTGTTACATGAAAAACACACCAAATTTATCGCTCATCATCTCATATCAACTTTCGCTTACCATTAAAAAATCGATTTCAGCAAAAACTATCACATTTTCAAAATCAACATCCCATTATCATCTTGACTCATCCCATCCTCTCTTCTAATTGTTTTTAGTGCATATCAGATACGGTAAGAGGAGATGATGACGAAGCTTTTGACCAAATCTACATCGTCAAGTGTAGTCAGATCAGATCAGGATCCATGTTGCCAGGTGGTTTTCAGACAAACCCATGTCGTTAAGGCTTTTGGGTTGGGGGTTGCCAAAGAAGGAGGCTAAACGATAAGGAGGAGCGGTGGATATGGGTAACGACGGTAGTCTAGTGGTTTCCCGACCAAGACTAACATAAATAAGAGGTGGTCGTGGTTCTAGGTGATGATGAGAGAAGAGAGAGTGAGAGAGAAAGAGCGGGATTACAGTTTTGTTTCAGAAATCAAATTAGGTAGGGTGGGGGTCGGGATTGAGGTGGACCCATTTTAGTTTAAATTTTTTAAATAATTAAGAAATAATAAATAAATTAAAAGATAAATTGTTAAGGACAACATAATCATTTAATATTTGAAAGGGACAAAAATCATAACAAAAACCAAAACAAAAGAACGCCTATTAAAAAAGATAGAAAAAATGACACATTAGCTCTATGTTGTTTTACACATTTACCCATTGAGTCCCTTAAATACTTTGTTGTGACCTGTCTTTTTAGTCCCTCTAACCTATATTAGCCGGTTTGATGTTCCACGTATTCATTTCCTCATTTAAAAGTCAAAACACCATTTGTTCTTGTCTCAAAATCCATTAAAAAATAAAAAATCGGAGACACACCCTCAAAATCAAGCCCTCCCTAAAACAACAAATCATTTATGGAACTAACTCCGGTTCAATTTAGTCATAGTGGTTATCTGCTTGGCGTTAATGGTGGTTTAGCTACTCTCTACTTCATGAGCAGACTGAAGAAGGTTTACCTTGTTGAATTCTCTTGTTACAAACCTGATGGCGAAAGGCAAGTACTCAGATTCAACTTCAATTTTGAATTTTGAGCAACACCCAAATGGTTGTATATGAATAAAAAGTATCTAATCACAAACAAATAGAACTGCTTAAAAAAAGTCAGTGTGTCCAAATTCATAGCAGCTTTTCCATCTGTCTTTGAGGTCTCCTTCAATAAACAAATCGACCAGAAGAAGATAGGATAAAGAATGACGCAACAACAGATGAGACTACCAACAAGAACAATTGGTTCCATGTTACCAAATTCTGAATGAATAGCCCTGTTTCCCCAATTACTATAGAAGCCATGTTTGCTAAAACCTGAAGCGGTATTACAATCATTAGAACTTTCTTCCCCTTCTCTTGCCAGAATGGTTTCAGGAAACAACCATCCAGTACCGATCAACACGATCACGGTGAATAAAAGCACCGTCTGCAAGAATTGAAACGTGTAAAACAGTACAACCCATCCCATCCATGGGTTGTACCTGTAATTTTTATCTTATGTTTCTCCTCCGCCGCACATAGTAAGTTGAGTGATTTCACGATCAGCAACACGGCCATCAAGAAATGGATCCGATGAACGGATCCTATGTTGTTAAAGCATTCGAGAACCCAGAGAACTAGGAAACAGATGTAAACGATGAATAAAAGTAAGTAAAAGGATGGGAGACTTCCAGCTCGACGTTGATTTCATCATCTGTGAAGAGTCGATGAAGTATCCAAAGATAAATAGTCAAAATTGATTTCCTAAATAGTCAAAATTAGCTTCCAAATTGATTCCCATTCACTGTAAATGGCCCGATTCAAAGTCAAAGGAGGAAATTTTCAAAGGAAGAAGTTAAAGTCAATTTCTTTGTTGAGGTGGCCAAGAAGTTACCGGCTTACCCCTTCATTTCTTCAAAAGGGACCAATTTGATCCGACAAAAATAAGTTTACTCCTTCATAAAGCACGAACAATATTTAAGGGACTCAATGGGTAAATGTGCAAAACATCACAGGGCTAATGTGCCATTTTCCCAAAAAGATATTAACAAGCAATTTACCACAAACCACAAGGATGATTTATGTAATATATTATTACTTGTATAATTGGAATTATTTGTTGAAATTTAAATCCAACAATTGGCATCATCGTTTTATATCAAGTGCTTAGTCTCGTGTGTTTTAATTATTTTATTAGTACTTTTGATTATTTGCAATATGATATCTGCAAACTTCGTGTTTGTGAATTATGATTTTTTTTTTTCATTTGATTATACTGTTTTTCTTTCAATAATTGGTATCATAATTGTTATTGATGCTTGCTTACAAGTTTGATTGCTTATATTATTGTTGGTGCATAATCGATTGATTCTTTAAATCTCAGTGTTTGGTTCAAATGATAGCAAACTGCAAATTACATAGATATCAAATCCGAAACGGCTCCATTTCGGAATTGATGATCATTCCATGATATACATAAAACTTGAGTAATTAACATTAACTCTAAATCATTTAGTGATATTTGTGAACATCCCTAACATTATTGAGCATTTTCTAATAAACAATTGGGGATTTTCAATTTAGCTCCAATCCCCCTCGAGCCTATCAGAAAAAGTAGCTGAACTATCGAAATCAGTTTGAACTTAACCTAAGATCTTCAAAACTCAGCCCGTTTGTAACATCGTCATCAAATCATAAAAGAGACTAGAGAGTGACTAAAAGGCCTCCTTATAATCGAAGTGGTCCAACTTGGTGATTTGAAGGCCCTTTCCGTTTGTTTGCCTTTCACAAGTGATGTCAACTTTTCATCATCCAACAACCTAATATTCCCAAAAGCTATCTTTTTTACAAATAAAATGAATTATATTAATATTATTCCTAAAATACTTTTAGTGTCTTTTTGGAAACGAAAAGACAACGATACAAATACTTGACATGTGTTTTTATAGTTACGTATCAAACAAGTAAGACTACAAAACAATTGTGGCAAAATGGATCTTATTCTATTCTGAAGAGACGTTACTCACTTTAAAACTATAAACGAGATTTTTTTTGGAGTATTAATGTTCCTAGAATAGATTCAATTCATACACATGATGGGAGCATTTGGTGAGACAAACAATAATAATTGTTGTTTTATTTACGTCATTCACATTCATCATTCAATGACAAACAGAGTATAACATTTGTTGTTTTGTCTTGAATAAAAAATTAGTCATAGCTTACAGAGATTATAGTAAATTTGTCTACACGGAAGAAAAGACAAATTAGATAGTGTTTGATATCAATGGAATTTATATCATACGACAAAGTTTGCAACATTTTGTTACACACAAAACAAAAACAAAAACAAAAAAAAAAAGTGTTGAATTTAACATACAATAGATTGTGATGGTTATGAATAGAATAAAATTTGCAATTTTTTCTCCCACCAAAAAAGGTGGGAGAAAAGTATAATTCCATTTATTTTTGTATTATAGTATCCTACTTTCACTTCTTTCTATTACATCATTATACTTCTAATATTTTTCTACTTTGAAATCGGATCTGGGATGGCTTTAATTTCGCCTCCACCATTAGAAGATTCGTAAATTACCAACTGTTTCTGGGAATAAGCACAAGAATGGGTATTTTCGTCGCTTAGTTGAACTATCCAATCAATTTGAACTTGACCTAAAATCTTCGGAAATGAGCATGTTTGCAACCTCATCATTAAATTAAATCAGAATAATATAATAGAGAGTGACTAAAAGGCCTTTTTATAAGCAAAGTGGTCCAACTTAGTGATTTCAAGGCCCTTTCCGTTGGTTTGCCTTTGACAAGTGATGTCAAATTCAAAACATGTACTTTTTTGGACCACATTCTTTAACCTTCATTGCTATTATATTCAAACTTTTCATTATCCAACAACTTAGTATTCCCAAAAGTTATCCATTTTACAAATAAAATGAATTATATTAATAAAATTCCTAAAATACTTTTATTTTCGATGATACGGATACTTGACATGTGTTTCCATAGTTACGTATTAAACAAGTAAGACTATAAAACAATTGTCACAAAATGGATCTAATTCTATTCCTAAAGAGACGTTAATCACTTTCAAACTATAAACCAGAATTGTTTAGAGGATTTAAGATTTCTAGAATAGATCCAATCATAGACAAAATGGATCTTATTCGATGGGATGAGACTTAACAAACTTTATAGAGCTATTGTAAATGATGAGGATCACGAGTACATTCACATATTTTGCATACACAAAGAGATCAAGAGCAAGTCGATGATACACCTTATTTTAATACAAAAAATAGCAAATATTTTATTTGCATCATTCACATTGATGCATGTCAAACGTTGTACAACATAAATGGGACCATAACTTACAAGATTATAGCAAATTTTTCCATAAGAAAGAAAAGACAAAACAGATTGCGTCTGATATCAATGGGATTTATATCATGGGACAAAGTTTGCAACATTTTGCTAGATATGACAAAACAAAACAAATTGTGTGAGTTTATCATACTATAGATTGTGATTGTTACAATATTACAAACTTTGCAATTTTTTCTCCCATCAAAAAGGTGGAACAAGGACACGTTTTTTTATCTCTACTTTATCCAAAAGACATGAACACCCTTCTCATTCTCATCATCGAAAATAACCCTAGAAAGCTTGTACAACAAGTCTGTCCCATGAAACAAACACAAACATTACAAACCCACCCAAGAACAACCAAACTATATGCAAGACTAGTAACACACACACACACACAACCAAACCATCTTATAGTACTAAATTAGTAATATATACTTGCCAATATTAGGGGTTCTTTCCCATATACAGTTCCCAAAACAACAATCACACTGGCATCCTCCTTTCCCAAAACCCTAAAAAAGAACCCGCTTTCGGAGCTCAAAGTTTGCTACCACTACAAGAAAAAAAGTTGAAAATTATGTGGAATTTAATTCTAATATTTGCTTCTTTGTAATTACCAAAACCTACGTACGTCTAAACATCAAGTCGAAATTGTGTATCCGTTTTCCTGGTGCACTCCTTGCCTTCTTTACAGGCGGATATGGAAGCAAATCAAGCTCTAAACTTGTGTTCTGCTCTGGACCTAGTAATGACATCGGTTTACCTGAAAAGTAACACAAAAACCAGTATATATATATATATATATATATATATATATATATATATATATATATATATATATTTAGGGAAAATTGTGACAAATGGCAAGGTGTTTTTATCTTTTTAACCAATATAGGCAATGTACTTTGATTTTTACCCATAATAGCAACATGTTTTGCTTTTTTACCGTTATGGACAATTGTTTAACTTTAATTTTTTAATAGTTTAACCCATAATAATAGCAATGTACTTAAGTTTTTATCCCTATGAACAATGTGATATTGAAATGTACTTTTAACTTTTACAATATGAAAAAAGAACTGTATAATACCTGGGGAAGGTTCAAGATACGGATTATCATCTTGCAAAGCTACTGATGCTGCACGTGAAGGACGTTTTCTTACATAATTCTCCTGTAATGGTTTAGGAATCTGAAATGAAAACTGTGATATTGTAACCCCTTGTTCCATGTATTCTGGATGTTTAAACAAGAACCTGTTTTATACAAACTATTAGGAACCAATTTAAGTTTTAACTTTTAATATGTGATGCAATATTAAAATAATTGGATACAAAACATACTTTTCTATATCTGGTATTGAACGCAGTGTAACACCTGTTGGGGATGTATAATATCTGCTTATTATAAAAAGTAGCAACCAAAGTTAGATTCTTAAATGTTTTATCATATAAAGAATCAGATAAAGTAGGAAGAAAACTTACACATCAGCAAACTTTGTGCTTCCTTCACCTCTGATTCTCAACTCCCTCTGCCACCCTGGCGGAGGCTGAGCAATGTTGGGCTTGTCAATAGCCCAAAGTCTGCTTCCATCTTGTTCAATATCAGCAGGATCATTACATGACACATCAGCACGCCACTCATGAGCATTTTCACACACAAAGGGCTTTTTGGTAATATGTTCCCGGATTTCTTGATATTTCTCCAGGCTTGGGATAAGTCTCCATTTAAAACAGTTAGCACATTGAGCAGTGAAAGCACCTACGGACGGTAATACCCTTTGCAAAGATTGAGGTTTTATATGAAATCGGATCTGGGAATACTTCAATTTCGCCTCCATTATTTGAAGGTTCGTAAATTACCAACTGTTTTTGGGAATCAGCACGCGAAAGGGTATTTTCGTCATTTGTGCTGCTGCAGTCAGAGGATGACACATCTATAACATTTTCTCTCGGGATAGTAGAACAAGGCTTCATTGAAGTAAATATGAAATTTTCCCTGTTGCATGAAGAATAATGATCAAACTATGCTTTTTGATACATTTGTTTCTGTGATTAATTTTCAAAAGATTTGAGCTCTAATTTGTTTATGTGATGCATTCATTTTCAAAGGATAAAATGGTTATTTAGTCTCAATCAAACAGGATTTATAGGGAAAAAAAAAAAAACTTTACTCATAACATCATATAGTTAAGGATCTCAAACTTGACTCTAATTTTAATTCTTCTCCAAAATACTCATATGAATACAAAATTGTGTAAATATGATAAATCCAATTCATCTTTCAACTGTAAACCTAAAGAATCTAAAACTTCATATATAACTGATCCTTTAGGATGAAATTGATCTTCAACTGTAAACTTATAACTCTTTCCATTCAATTGAACAACACTTTGTCCTGGAGATTTTATCACTTGATTCTTTTTCATCAATCTTCTAATCTCAATAACTCCATTCCAATTAAACACTGATGCATAAATATTTGCCATTTCTACATAAGGAGCTGCAGCCTGTGGCTCCATTTTAAAAAGATTACAAGCTGCCAGCTCACCAATCTCCACATTTTTATAAATTTTACAACCACTAAGCAATGAAGACCAAATCCCAACATCCGGATTCATAGGCATCTTTTGAATCAAATCCAAAGCTTCATTTAACATTCCATTACGTCCTAAAAGATCAATCATACATGAATAATGATCTAATCCAGGATCGATTTTATACACTTTAGTCATAAGATCATAAATCTCCCATCCTTTTTTTACATACCCTCCATGATTACACGCTTGAAGAACAGCAAGAAATGTTATGTGGTTTGGTTTTATTCCCAATTCCAACATACGAGAAAAATGCATCAAAGAGTCTTGAAAATCACCATTTAAAGCAAATCCAGAAATCATTGAAGTCCATGAAACAACGGTTCTTTCATGCATTGTGGAAAAGATTTCATGGGATTCTTTTATGCTTCCACATTTTGCATACATGTCTATCAAAGCATTCAACACCATTAAATTAGTTTTCAATTTGTTTAAATTTGCATAGTTTTCAACCCATCTTCCGATTTCAAGAGATCCAGTTTCTCCACAACCAGAAATGATATTGAGTATTGTAACTAAATCGGGTTTTACACCAGTTGCTTCCATTGAGTGAAATAAGGTCAAAGATTCATCAAGATTGCCTTTTTCAGCATACCCACCAATCATAGCAGTCCAAGAAACACAAGTTTTATCCTTTATGCCATCAAATATATGTCTTGCTGTATTAAGATCACCCAATTTGGAGTACATAGAAATTAGGGTGTTTTTTATTGATATGTCTGAATCAAAACCCATTTTGATTCCATGACAATGGATCAACTTACCATGAATAAGTGATTCATTTCTGTCTATTGAAGAAAGTAAGTTAAGATTTGTACTTAAGTCTGGCTTGAACCCTTCAAAAAGCATGTTTTTATAGAGACTAATGGCTTTTAAAGATTTCTTGAAATAAGCAAATCCTGATATTAAACAGTTCCATGAAATGATTGTAATGAAGCTTGAATTGATCCCATGGAAGACCTTTTCGGCTGAGGGTAAGTCTCTAAGTTTGGAATAAGTGGAAACCCAAGTGTTTGATACTGAAACATCTTCTTCAACCCCAATTTGAATCCCAAAAGAATGGATAGCCTTCATAAGCCAAACATCTTCTCTATTTCTAATCGATTGTGATATCCCAATCACTGTGACTGAATCGGGATGAATTCTTTCAACTCTCATTTGCTCAAAGAGCGACATAACTTGATTAACAACACCCAATTGAGCAAAACCTAAAAGCAATACGTTCCAAGAAGCGATGTCCCTCTTGGGCATTTTATCAAACACTTGGTGGGCGATGTTTAGGTGGTTACATTTTATATACATGTCCATTGTTGCTGTTTGTACATAAACATCAGAAGAAAACGGAGACTTTATGATTTGGGAATGAATGATTTTCGAGTAGCAGATGTTATTGAGTTTCCCACATGCTTTTGCGATGATTGGGAAGGTTAAATGGTTGGGTTGTAGGCCCTTTTGCATCATTTGGTGGAAAAAGAAAAGGGCGTTTTGAAATTGAGCTTGGTTTACAGCTTCTCGGATGGCGTGGTTCCATTGACTAACCGTTGAAAGGCCTAAAATTTGGTGGGAAATCGAAGAAAGTGTCGTCTTTATCATAATATTGAAAATCAATTCTTTCTGCAAATTCAAATTTAGAAAGAATAAAACTAACAATCCATTCTGTTTTACATTATTTTAAAGATAGATGTTTATCCCGATACAATACTTATCCCAAAGGAAAGTAACGATAAATACTTATATTAATAGTTTCCTTACTAATTATTATATTATTATATAAATAAATATTAATAATCTGAAGTAGTTCGAACTAAATCCTTGGATGAAACTCCCACATGTGTAGAGGATTATGATAGATCTAAATCGGCGTCCCAAGAATGGAAATACCCTAAATGCAAAATCACTAATCCTTATCTGATAATGCACAAAAAACTAGATGAAACATCCTTTTTACAATGCTCAAAAACCTATGATAGAATGAGAAAACAAGAATCACATAACGCCAAAACCCCACGAATGAGGATAATACACTAAAATAAACAATGATCTTTACAAAAAATATATGCCAACTAAGTCAAACGATTCACAAATTTGCATTGCGATAGCAAAATTTAAAGAGGGATCAAGAGTGAACTCACAGACGTCATTCAAATAAAAGGGAAAAGAAAAAGAATCTCGGGAGATCTTTTGCATGAGTACACATGACTATGTGTAGATCAAAATTTTCAACAATGTAAAAGTTAAAAGAATCCCACTTGAACCAACATTAAACTCCCATAAATACACAATCCAACACCAAAATGCGATTAAACATTCTAAATAGGCCCATAAATGAAGTCTAAACGTAGAAGAAGAAGAAGAAGAAGAAGATTCAGAACATAAACGGCAATGAACAGGAATTTCCTTATTCAGATACTTTGATAGAAAAATTGGTACGGAAACAGCAAACTAGCCTGTATTAAACCGAAACAAATATATTTGTTGTGTAGTAAAGAGATTACTTACAACGAAAGATCCGAGCAGAGGATTGAAGCCTTCGATAAATCAGACTATGAGGATGATGATGGATTTATTCGTATAGATATGGAGAGAGAGATGGAGATTGCATTGGGGTTTTGATATCGCTTCTCTCGGAAAAAGAGACGCAAGCAGAATTATGAACATAAGAAACCGGATTTACTAGGAGTTACGATTTTGTTCATATATGGATTATGGAATATATTTTATTCTTTATTTGTATAATAATATATTTTAATTTTATTCATAAAAGGCTCATATTTTTTTAAATAGTCTATATGAAATAACGTAAATTTCTTTTATTCAAAACAAAAACATAAATACGTTACTATAAAAAAAATATAGGGGCAATTACTAAACTAGCCAAATTAGGGAAGTGATTAGCAATTTTTAGCCAAAAATTAGTAAATGTCCGAATATAGCCCACGAAACCGTAGGTTTCGATATTCGTCTACTGTTTCGCCAATTCGTCTATTGTTTCGTGTTTTGTATAAATTTTTTTTTTTCATTTTTAAGATACAAAACCGTAGGTTTTTTATGGTTTCCCAAACTGTAGCCTACGGTTTTGGGAAAATAATACGTTTTTTTTTTAAATTTACTGTTTTTGGGTTAAAATCTACTGTTTTGTCAAAAAAACAACTGTTTTAAATTTTTAAATTTTTTTTTTTTTTTTTGTGATATAAACTATAAAAAAGATTGTTTATAATATGTAGAATTATTTTAACAATCATTTTGTTTAAATTTTTTGAGAATTGTTTATAAAATATAGAATTATTTTACAAGTTATTTTGAGAATTATTTTAACAATTATGTTGACGATTATCTTATTAACTTTTTTATTTTGTAAAATAATAGTTTTTTACCAAATAATAAAAAAAGGATTTTTGCTAAATTAGGAAACTAAATTTGATTACTTTTTAGATAAAGTTGACCACTTTGTTGCTATAATCGCAACATAGAAAATAACATACTTTATCACAAAATGAAAACATTGAATTATTACATATACATAATCGTTAAAAATAGGTAGGAACATTATTTTTTTTTGAAGAAAAATGAAAAAATATATATAAAACAGTAGGTTTTAGGAAACCTACGGTTTCAAGATTTTTTTTTTCTAAAAGAAAATCACGGAATCGATATTATATTTTTTTTCTAAAAAAAATCACGGAATCGATACTTATAAATTTTTTTTTATTAAAAACCCGAAAAAAAACCGTAGGTTTTTTGTAAACCTATGGTGTACAACCCTTTAATGCACAAACTGTGCATTAAATTGTTATACACCGTAGGTTTCCAGAAAACCTACGGTTTCGCTATTTTTTTTTGAGTTTTATGAAAAAAATTTCATCAATATATTACATATATACAATTCCGATCGTGTAGTATCAAATTTAAAAAAAAAACGAAAAAATATATATTTTTCCGTACGGTTCATACGAAACCGTAGGTTTACAAGTCCACAATGCACAATCTGTGCATTGCTCACTTGTACACCGTAGGTTTCGTATGAAACCTACGGTTTTATTTTTATTTTTTTTCGATTTTTTTCAAAAAAAACTTAACCATATATACAAAACCTACTTCTAATCACGAACACGGTAAAATTTTGATGAAAAGTAGACAAAATTGGTTGTTTTTCGGGTGCTCCGTTGAGAGAAAAAATTAGTCAAACCAACAAAACAATAGGAAAAAATGACCTAATCTGAAAATTTTTACATTATATACTTTGG